TTTCCCCCCCCGAGCCCCCTCCCCAGGCAGGATCGTCCGTACCCATGCCCCCCCCGCCGGGGTGGCCCGGGGGGTGCGGCCCCCCGCCCATCCCCCCCCGGTGGGGCTGCATCCAGGGGGGGGGCCCGTTGGGGGTGTGCTGCATGGGGTGCCCCCCGTGCCCGCCCCCCATGCCAGCCATGGGGTGGGGGAAGCTGTGGGGACCCCCGGGACCCCCGGGCCCCCCGTGCAGCCCGTGGTAGGGGCGGTTCTCCGAGGGCGCCGAGCTCATCCAGGGGGGGCGGCTCTGGGGGGGGGAAAAAGGGGGTCAGGGGGGTTTTGGGGGGTCGCAGGGTTACAGGGGTTCTGAGGGGATGGAGCTCATGCGGTGGGGGGAGGAAATTGGGGGGTCAGGAGGGTCTGTGGGTCATTTGGGGGGGGCTGGGGGTCACAGGAGGGGTCACTGCTCCCCACTCCCACCTGGCTGGTTCTGGGGTAGATGTGAGGGTTCTGGGGGTGCCCAGAGGTGTTTTTTGGGGTGTCACTCACTGGGGAGAGGAGCTGTCCCCACACCTCACAATGTGTTGTTTTTTGGGGGAGTTGTGTGAATTCTGGGTCTTCCCAGAAGTGTTTTTTGGGGGCGTCACTCACTGGGGAGAGGAGCTGTCCCCACACCTCCCAATGGGTTGTTTTTTGGGGTGAGTTGTGTGAATTCTGGGGGTGCCCAGAGGGGTTTTTTGGGGGGGGTCACTCACTGAGGAGGGGAGCTGTCCCCACACCTCCACACCTCACAATGTGTTGTTTTTTGGGGGAGTTGTGTGAATTCTGGGTCTTCCCAGAAGTGTTTTTTGGGGGCGTCACTCACTGGGGAGAGGAGCTGTCCCCACACCTCCCAATGGGTTGTTTTTTGGGGTGAGTTGTGTGAATTCTGGGGGTGCCCAGAGGGGTTTTTTGGGGGTCACTCACCGGGGGGGGCTGTCCCCCAGCCTGGCTGGCGGCACGGTGGCTGCTGGACAAGGGGCTGTTGTTGTGGGCGGCGTTGGAGCTCACGGACACCGGGGCCTCGCCCAGCTCGGCCATCAGGGACAGGTACTCCTTGTCCATCCGGGCCTTGTCCTGCGCCGACTGCGGGTCCCCAGGCCTGGCAACCCGGCGGGATGGTGAGCTTGGGGAGGGGGGGCTGCACCCCCAAATCCCCCACCCCACCTCTGGCCACAGGGGTGGTTCCCGTGCATGGCTCAGGAAAAGCTCAGGGGGGGTTTCAGAGGGGCTTGAGAGGATTTAAGGGTATTTGGTGGGGTTTTGGGGATGTCTCAGGGAGACCTCCAAGGGGGTTTTGAGGACGTGGTGGAATCCCAGGGAAGTTCAGAGTGGATTTTGAGGGATCTGGGGAAGGTTTGGGGAAATCTCTGGGCTGATTTAGGGAATCTCAAGGTTTGGGAACACTTGAGATCTCAGGGATTTAAGGAGCATTTGTAGGGAGTTCAGGCAGAGGTTTGGGAGGATCTCAGGAGGATCTGGTGTGTTTTTGTGGGACATTTAGGGAATCCCCAAAGGAGGATCTGGGGGTTTATTTTGGGGGTCACCTGGCAAACTTGCAGTCGGAGGCGATGTGCCCGGCCCCGCCGCACTTGGTGCACACCGTGGTGTTGGTGATGCTGCGCGTCTCAGTGCTCTGCCACGGCCTCAGGATGCTGCCGAGGGGGATCAGGGTTATTTAGGGTTTCTGGGGGGTTATTTTAACATTAATTTGGGGGGGTGGGACCCCTCTGACCGGTTGTCATCCTCCCGCAGGGTCCCGTTGAGCCGCGCCAGCTCCCGCAGCTGCATTTTGCGCAGGTCGTTCTGGTCCTCGGGGGTCTCGATGCCCTGCTTCAGGATGTTCCTGATCTGGGGGGCACAGCGGGTGTCAGACGGGGTGGGCTGCATCTCCAGATCCCCCCAAACCCCTCGGGGACAGCCCCGAACCTGCTCCACGGCTTTCTTGACGTTCTCCATGGTGTTGGCGGTGACGAGGGCGTGCAGGGGCTCATCCTCGCCGGGCAGCATCTGCCCGTCCTTGCGGCCCACCTTGCCCTCCTTCACCGAGCCCTTGCCCCTGATCATGATCTTGGCGTTGCACTCCTTCTCGATGTTCTTCAGCGTGTTCCCCCTGCAGCGGGGCACCGGGGATGCTGGGGGGCCCTCGGAGCTCCCACAGAGCCCTCCTCGCCTCCTTCCCCCTCCTTGCCCTGGGGTTCGTGCTCCTCTTCCGTGTTCTGCTCGGGAATTTTGGGGGGTCCCACCTCCCAGATTGGGGGGATGGATCCCACAGGTCCATCGGGGCACCCACACTGGGGGGAGTGGGGACCTGGTTCATCAGGAGCTCAGGCTCGTTATGGATAGGGGTGCGTCATTAACAGCCCTGTGTTAATTAGGGGGGATTGAGAGGACAAGGGGGCAAAGGGACACCCACTAGGACCCTACAGGTGTTGGCACGGGGACCCAGCACATCCCTGGGGTGAAGCTGAGGGGATCCCTCCCAGCCCCAGAGCCCTGCCACCCCCCAGGATCTGGGGGTGCCCACCTGGGCCCAATGAGGAGCCCCACGAAGTTGATCTCGGGGTACTCATCCTGCGGGATCATCACCTTGTCGCTCACCCGCGTCGCCGGTGGCCTGGGGAAGGACAAAAATCGGGGCTCAAAC